CATGTCTATGATACAAGCCAAATTTACACCCATTGTATTTTTATCTAATCATTCACCAGACAGGCTTTGGTTGCAAATTTGCAATTGCAGGGCATGCATTAGATCATAAATTTGAAATTAAAGTTTATAACGTCTTTTATATGTAACTCATTCTGTAAAAATTCTAAAGTATCCTGATAGAAAAATTATGTAGTTATTAATGGTTGGAAAATTTCAAATTACAATGAAGACTAATGAGTTTTCGTCATGTGACCACGAAATTTAAAATTACAAGTTGCTATGATTGACTATGTAGTTGCCACAAGTGCTCGACGAGGTCCGATTGTAATTGAGAATGAGTTTATCTATCTCTAATGTGATGATGGCGTCGAACGAATTCTATAAGTTGAGTTGTATGCTCATGTGAAACAGATACATAGGGATTTTCATCGATTTGTTCATAGTCGTAGTCTTCTGCTTCATTAACATCTCGCTCATCCTCAACAATCATGTTATGCAGTATTATGCATGCCTTCATAATGTTCTTTAGTGTTTTACGTTCCCAAGAACGTGCTGGTCCACGTACAATTGCAAATCATGCTTGAAGAACTTCAAAAGTACGTTCTACATCTTTCCTTCCCGACTATTGAGTTGCAGCAAAATGCTTTCTCTTATTTCCTTGCGGAGATGGAATTGTTTTGACAAATGTTGACCACTGTGGGTACATATCATCTGCTAGATAGTATCCCATTGTATAATCATTACCATTGATTGAGTAATTGACAAAAGGAGTATGCCCTTCAGCAAGCTTGGTAAATACAGAAAATCATTCTAGCACGTTGATGTCATTATGAGACCCCGGTAACCCAAAAAATGCATGCCATATCCAAAGATCATACGATGCTACTGCTTCTAAAATAATTGTAGGTTCATGAATATGACCAGAATACATACCTTTCCACGCAGTTGGACAATTCTTCCATTTCCAATGCATACAATCAATGCTCCCCAACATCCCAAGGAATCCACGACTTTGGCCAATTGTTAGCAATCTAGTAATGTCATTTTTGTTTGGTGATCTCAAATACTCATCAAAAAAAATTGTAACCACCGCTTTAACAATTTTTTTAAAACTTTTCATTACAGTGCTTTTTCCAATCCTTATATATTTATCCATAAAATCAGCCGCTACACCATAAGCGAGCATTCTAAGTGCAGCAGTCCTCTTTTGGTAGGAGGACAAACCAAGCACTCCTGCACCATTTCTTTTTTGAACAAAATACGGTTCATGAGCTTTTAGTGTAGAATGAATACGGAGAAAAAGAGAACGATTAAGCCGAAACCTTTTTCGAAATACATTGGGAGGATATATTGGTGAGCAAAATAGTCGAGAAAAAGCCTTTGGTGGCCTTGTAAAGTATTATGCCTAATGAACACACGACGGTGTATAGAACCATGACATGATCTTGATTCTTCCTCCATTTTGGCTATGGTAGCTATCTCTAACTCATCATCAGAGTCAGACTCATTGAGAATCATATTGCGTACTGAATTGCGACGTATAATGAGAAAATAAAGACTTAATATTAAAGAAAACTGGATGAGGTGGATGAAAATTAAAGAGGAATGATCTTATTTATATTAAAAAAATATGACTGTTAGAAAAATATCTATTTCAAAAATATAACCATTGCAAAAATATTCATTTGAAAATATGACCGTTAAGTGTCCATTTGAAAAATATAATTTTTCTGAAAAAATAAATAAATAATAAATAAGGAATATTTAAATTGAATGGAGAAAGAAATGGAGAGTTTGTTAGAGCATGACAAGAAAAATAAGGTTAGCTAAAATAGAAAAGTAGGTTTTTAGCTACAATTTGACTAAACATTTAGCTACTTTGATAAAGATGCTCTAACACTCCAATAACGTAATATTCCAATATAACACACTAAAAAACTCCTTAGTGTACTTTTCCTAAACGTAATAACGTAATATTCTAAACTTTTTCTAAATGTAACACTCTAATGTAACACACAAAAAAACTCCTTAATATACTTTTCCCAAACATAACACTCCAATCAATGTGATTTCGAATGTAACACTCCAATGTAACACACTAAAAAACAATTTAGTATACTTTTTTAAACCTAACACTCACAGTTTGAAATTATACATTTATCCAAAATTTATTAAGGAATTTTTGTACTCTTTTTGGAATGGTTTAAAGAATCCCACACCATTTTTTTAAAGTGTTACATTGGATTATTACGTTTGGAAAAAGTATAGTAAGAATTTTTTTGTGTTACATTAAGGAGTTTTTTTGGAGTGTTACACTAAGGAGTTCTTTTGGAGCGTTACATTAGAGCGTCACGTTTGAAAAAAATACACTAAAGAGTTTTTTTGAAGTGTTATATTGGTGTATTACGTTTGAGTATTATAAATTGAAATTATACATTTGCTCAAAACTACTAAGAAGTTTTTGTACTCTTTTTGAAATATTTGAAGAATCTCCTGTTCTTTTGAAATGTTTGAAGAATATCATATTTCAAATCATTTTTATACTCCTTTTGAAATATTTGAAAAATTTTACCTTTCAAGTCATTCCAAATAAAAAGAATTCCCATATAAGAATTCATTCCAAATTTGATTCTCATAGGTTGTGTATCTTAAATTTCTAGCATAAAAGGGGAGAGAGAGAGAGAGAGAGAGAGAGAATGAAATATAATAGAAATAAGGTGTAGATGTCCCCGAACGCCCCGGGAGGGTGAGTCCCGTTCTGTTCATTTGGGCTCACTACAGTTCGGACTCTCGAATTGTCACTGTTCATAATCTGAACCAAAGAGTCCAAATCCGGCAAATCATTTTGAGAAAACAGATTTTTAGAAAAGAAGTGCCAAACATGGACTGCTTTTCCAGATACAGAGTCGCCACCTAAATATTTTTTAAGGGGGAATTTAGGAAACCCTGACTTGGTGCCAAAAGCCACGTGTCCGTCATCACCAAAGTTGCCTCGGCTTGGGAGCTAGGGTACGATTGGGGAAGGTCAGCTATGAGCACCCCCTCTCGCCTAATCCGAAGATCGGCCTCTACTAACCGTGATATCCGTTTTTGAAAACGTTATGTGTTCTTATTCCGGTTATTAGCCTAGAATTATTATGTTATGCACACAGCAAACAAGTATAGACCAAATTGTCTAAATTGGAACAAAACATTTCATGCTTGTTTTGAAAATGGTTTGCTACTCGCAAGTAGGCTAAAACGCAGATTTTGCCACCCTCAAGTGGGTTTTTGGAGAAGACGATTTTGCCACTATTTAGTGGGCTTAAAACTCACAGTTTTAATGCATTATTCCAATTTAGGTAATTCAACCTCCATCCACAGGCATTCAAGCAGTTATATCACATAAGCAGCTAGCCTCATGATAATCATGCTGTTATGGCAACACTCACACGCATGCGGTATGCTAAAGCATGAATGCTTACCGAGTACTCCAAGCCAAAACAAAAACTAGTTAGTAATCATATGCATGATCCTAGTTCATGTTAAGATGGCTAATGCGACACATGCAAAATGCGACTAAGATAAGCTCGACTAATCTATGTGAAATGCTACAACTAATCACGTATTCAATTTGGAATTGAAATACAAATGCAGTTAGAATGATGCGCCGAGCCCGGTGCATGCAAGACCAATGTATGAATGCAAGCATGCATAGCATAAGGTATGCTAATTTAAATATGCCCTAGTCTACCATCATAAGCGGGTAAATAAAAGGGAAGAAAGACGTGGGGTTGGAAGACATACACACACTCACGCACACTTATTACACAATTGCCCTCGCTCGGAGGGTCTGAATAAATAATACAGATTTAACTAATTAACTAGCCGACTAACTAATTAATTAATTACAAAACTTCTAATTAATTAACAAATTAATTACAGAAACAGTCTAAATATGAAACTAAAGAGACCGCCACAGCTCTGCCTTGGAATGCGTGGATGATGCATGCTTGACTCGCCTTGCTCGAAAACCCGTGCTATGCCACTGTTGCCTCTGTTTACATTGCTCTGCTCCTATGAAAATTGTGCAACTCCCAAGGTGCACTCTCTGGATACTGGGGAGCATCACCGACCAAGTGGGATCACCATCGGCCATGTTCGGATGGTTATCGGCCATTTGTAAATCCATCGGCCAACAATGAATGGCCGGTCGGCAGTATAGGTGGCCGGCCGGCTAAAGCTTCCTGCAGGACCTGTTTTTTGACAGCAGCAGAGGGTAGACAGTGCATGGCAAGGAAATTCAAAGCAATGTATGCATGGCCACTCTCTCTATCATGCAATGGACTCAAGGGAGCATGGCTCTCGACCCTCGGGCCATCAATTGTGCACTTTTGATGCATGATGGCCTAAGAGGCCAAGTTAGCAACTTTGATGTAAATGCATGCAACAAACAAATGAGTGCCAATACCCTATCATATTGAGATCAAGGACATCGGCGACCGAGGATTGAGACGTGTTACGTCACCTTGAGTACGAACACTCCTCAATCTTCGTGCTTGGTTTGACACCCCAAACCAAGCAATGTAATGCATGTATACAAACATGGCTCAAGTGTACAAAAGACTAAGTTACAAAACATGCCAAATGCAATGTAAGCTACTATGCAAGTGTGCAATATGCCAAGCATGCAATGCTACAATACAACCTAGTTAGGCAACTAGGCAAAGTGGTAAACATGCAACAATGCATTGACTACAAGAATGCAATAAACATGCAATGTAATGAGTATACTACAAGATACAAATGCACGGACTTACACTAGGATAGAGGAACCTCAACCACCTCCCCAAAACAGTGGCCAAAGTGCACTAAAATGATGATGCCAATCATGCAAAAGAAGCATGCAAAGTAATGAGCCTAAGACTAAGGCATGAAAGGCAGCTTTCAAGGGCACTCACAAGATGACAAACATGGATGCTAGGCTAACATATTAAGCTAAACACTTTTTTTTTTTCTCATTTGGTGGCTAATCTTGCTCATTGCTTTCGCTCCAGTTCTTGATAGCCTGACACACAGCTTGTTTTACCACTTGGGCATCAACGCTTTCCGTACTTTCTTCATTCTGCAAGAATTTTTAAAAAATATAGAAATTATTCACCACTTAAAAGCAAATGCAAAAAATGCCAGGGTTTGGAAATGAATACTACTAATATTAGCATTATCAATAATCAAATTGAAAAATGCTACATTTATCCACTTAAGTTACTGGTTTTTGTTTTCTAGCTCACGTGGCATCTCATGTGGCTACGTCGCATCAATTTTCTTTAATTTCCATATAAAATTATCAATAATGTTAAATAAACAAATGATTGGAAAAAATCTCTTGTTATCCTTAATAAAAATGACAACGAACTGTCATGAACAAGTCGACATGAACAACTTCCCTGCAAAACTTTTTTTTTTCCTTTCATCTTTTGCCAACCGTTAGATCAATACATCATTCCCTTGATATTCAATGATTTTCAAGAATAAGCATGTAGTAGTTAGATTGATCCAAGGATCCAAGTGGGTTCAAGAATCAACAAGAATTACCATCAAAGCAATAGGTCTATTTTGCCTAAATTTTTAATCTAGATATCAGTCTTTGCATTAAAACAACCATACAAGCATGTGACAATTGTGATATACAAACATAATTTTTATGGAAAAAAACAAACAAACAAACAAACTATACAAAATGGAAAGAATCCAAAGGTGTTACAGTAGTGGAAGGTAAATGGGTTTTATTTATTGAAAAAAATATATTGTGAATTATATTCCTTGTCCTAATAAGGTTCAATATAATTTGTGTATTTCTGAGTATGTTTGTGTGTAAGGAGGACTAATATGCAGGAAAGTACTTACCCAAAACAAATATGCAGGAAAGAAAATTAATATTCTTAAAGAATTTTTATATTGAGTTATGTACTTGTGACATTTTTGTAATTAAATGTTATTTTAATGAGTACCTGGTTTCAAAATAGGATTGGGTTTCTTCTAATCCGTGATTAGATTGGAGGATACTGTTGGGTCCATGAGGGCCCCATTACGGATCTGATTTCGATAATCTGAACCATTCAATGTGTAGAACTCGTCGAGTAATATATGTTTGTAAAAAATCACGTTGATCAGATATCGATAGCTATCATCGGATCAAATTTCTATCAACTGTTTATTTTTTCACCATTCATTTTTTTTTACAAAATTGATTTGATCACGTAGGTATCGATATTTAATCAACATGATTGATTTCAGGAATTTAATAATTGACGAGTTCTACACATTGAACGGTTCAGATTATCAGAACAGTACCCGTGGTGGGCCCTTACAGGCCCAATAATATCGTCCAGTCCGATCACGATCGTGGTCTTCTTTATGCAGATTCTGTATATTTTTATGTTTATATATAATATGTGGAAATACTTTCAATATGAAGAGGTGTTTTATCTCTTACTTGTCCAACTGCCTCTAATCGAAAGCTTTCTTCACAGGAGGCACTAGCTTCTTGCACATTAAGACCCAGCTCATCAAAAGTTTCAAGTATTGAGACAAGTAGACCTGGGCAATTCTTTTCTGAAATTACATTAATCAGATAACCCTTTTCTAGGGTTTCAACTGTAACCTGCTGTTTTTCAAGTTAAAATAAAAAAATAAAAAGAACGAGAAGAAGAAGAAGAAAGAAAGAAAGAAACCGATCAACATCAAAACAGTGAAATGGAAATTAAGAAAAATTCAATCAATAGAAGATAGAAATGAGATTAAAATATACCACGGGCCTTGGATCTTTGTCACTTGAATTTTGCGCAGTCCCAATAGCTTGATTCAGTCTTTCTTCACCACCGTCACCGTCGATCTCGCCAACACCGTCGATCTGTTAGATCTGTCCTCTCTCTCTCTCTGATCTGATGTTGTTGTTGTTGATCTGTACTCAGATCTGTGTTGTTCAAATTTTTTTTTTTTAATTTGTGTTAATTATATATGTTGATCTGTGTTGATAATTTGATGTTGATTTGTGTTAATAATTTTTTTTTTAATCTGTGTTGATCTGTACTCAGTCTGATTAGTCAGTGGTTTGTTGAACAAAATTTTTTTTCAGATCTATGCTTTGATTATTCAGTGGTTTGTTGAACAAAATTCAAAAAAAAAAATAGAAGCTCGGGGATATGTCGGGGTCGGGGAAACCCGATCCCCGTTAGGGGACGGGGACGGGAGGGTGATGGGCTCCCCCGCCGGGGATCGGGGGCGGGGACGGGGATTTTGTAATCTTCGGGGATCGGGGACGGGGGGAGTAGTCCTCGGCCCCACCCCGCCCCGTTGCCATTCCTAATTCCAACTGGCACAGCTGGCATACACTATGCCTGAAGAAGGCAAAAAGGTGTTACGGCCAAAAAAGGAGGTCGCCGGCCAAACAAATAACCGGCCGGCCATATGGAGTGCCGACCGGCCATTGGTATTAAGAAACCATGGCCGGCGTCAGCAATTAATGGCCGGTGATGCAAAGGGAAGGCCGATGGGGTGTGGGGATAGTCAACAAGCCATTCCCTACCCCTCAAAGCAAAAACACAAGTATTTAGTGCGAAACCAAACGCAAGACGAACAAGTTGAGGGATCCTGAGGCAAGGCGCGCAACCAAGGCCTCCGGGAACTCAAAACGAACACGAACGTGGATGATCACCGAGTGTCCCCACCGGTGACGTCCAAGTCTTGAGGATGATAAAAAATGGGGTGTCTACATAAGGGTATAACTGTAAATATAATTTTCAAATAATATATTAAATTTACCTTTCTAAAATCAATGGGACTGATTGGTCTAGAAGAAAACTCTTGAGACTAATCGGATCACAATTCTTCAAAATGGGATTTATAGGTGAATTTTCCTAAATTTTTTTATATAAATTCAATTATGAACCAATTAAATTGCAACACATAATAACATACGAAATTTTTATTGGTAAAAAAATAACAAAATTTGAGAAAATTTGGTAAATAGTTTCAACCTTAACTCTTATATTTTTTTCAAATTTTCTTTTTCTTTTTTATGGGAAGGTAGTTTGGATGAGATGAAGATGGTAACGTGAGAAATTTAGATACTTTTTAGGGGAAGATATTTATTTATAATTGTTATAAAATAGGAATATGTTTGTAACGAAAAATTTCATTATATCTCTTAAGAATAGGAATGCAAACTTACGAAGTTTTTCATTTTATATTTAATGGTTCTATAATGGTTGTGAAAGAAGATCCTCTATTATTCTTTTGTAAATATTTAATGGTTATTAATTAACGAGCAATGTTATATCTGTTTAAAATCTTACTAAAAATATATATGTCTAAATACAATTGGATGTTTAAATATCATTATTTTTTCAATAACCAATCACATCTAACCTTCGTATTTTTAGTAAGATTTTTAATAAGATTGTTAGTAATTGTAGAATTATTCTTAATGAACCATATATGGAATAGGAATACAATATTTAATGGTTATTAATTTACTATATTTACGGACTGGAGGATGTTGTTGGGCCTATAGGGGTCTACCGTGGGTCTCGTTTTGATAATTTGAACCGTTCAATGTGTAAAACTTGTTGAGTACTATATATCTATAAAAAATCATATTGATCGGATATCAATAGCTATATAATCAAATCAGCTTTGTATAATAAAAAATGGACGGTAAAAAAATAAACGGTTGATAGAAATCTGCTCCGATGAAATAGTTATCAATATCCGATCAACGTGATGTTTTACAGACATATAGTACTTGACGAGTTTTACATATTGAACGATTCGAATTATCAAAACGAGACTCGTGATGAGCCCCCCGGGCCTAACAGGACCCTTCAGTCCGATTACGGGGGAAGTATCCGATCCGATGTTTGATTAGGGGAATAAGGGGGGAATTATTTACTGTGCGGATTGTAATCCAGGGGAAACATCCAATTCGATGTTTGTTTTTTTTTAGTCCACTGGACATGGAGTCCGACTGGATTCCTTATCCCCCATATGGGGGATTATACTATCCTGGGGGTGTGAGACAATTTTGGAGGGATTATTTATTATTGGGATTAGGTGATGAAATAATCATTCTGACCCTCTACTATTTAATTATGTATTATATTTAGTAAAATTCAATAAAATTTAAATGTCTCAATTTAAAAATAAAATAATTTTATTTAACTTTTTATTGATGTTTTATTTTTTTTAAAAATAATTTTTTATAGATATTTTATTAATGTTTTATTTTAAAATTTTGTTTATATTTTATTTAATTTCATTATTTAAATGTTAACAGATGTTTTATTTAATTTCATTGTTTCATTATTATTATTTTTAAAAACAAATTTATTTAAAATTTTAATTAAAAAATAACATATATTTTTATTGATATTTTATTTATTTAATTTAAAAAAATAAATTTATTTAATTGTGTAAAAAATAAAATAAAATAAATTTTTATTTAATCTAGCTAAAAATAATTAAAATATTAAAGATATGTTTAATATTACTATTACTTAGTAAACAATTGAAAAATGGTAAAATAATTTTTTGTCATATCCAGTCCGTCCAACCAAACATTGGACTCACTAAAAATAATCATTTCCAGACATCTAATCCCATAAAAAAACAAACACAGGATATATATCCAATCTAACCAAATAGTTCAGGGGATTCACAGTTCTAAGACTCAAGTCCGATGGATTCTAATCCCCTTATCTAGTCCGTCTAATCAAACACACCCTTACATATTTAATGGTTATGAAATGAGATTATGTGAAACAGAAATGCAATATTTAATGGTTATTAATTAACCATATGAAATGGGAACGCAATATTTAATGGTTATTAATGATTATTAATTAACCATATTTGATCCTCTATTAATGGTTATTAACTAACCATATTATTTTCATATTTTACCCTCCGTTACATGTTTGTAAATATTTAATGGTTATTAATTAACCTAAAGGCCTTCTCATATTATAAAATAAAAATATAAATTTATAAATTAGATAGATGGGAGGACCTTAAGGGCTTGTTTGGTTTATAGAGTTTTTTTTTTTTTTTTAAATATTCTTAAAAAAAAAATTTAGAGAATTGATCTATTTTTCAAACTATTTGAGAAATTAACTTATTTTTTAAAATCGCATGTTGAAAATATAATTTCTGATGATATGGACTTTATTTTTTGAAATTCCATTTTCAACATGCGATTTTAAGGTGAAATTACATATTGAAAATGCAATTTTAATTTCAAAATCGCATTTTCAAAATTAGATTTCAAAAAGTAGGTTAGTTTTCGAAATAGTTTGAAAAATGGGACAATTCTCTAAATTGTTTTTTTTTTAGAATATTAAAAAAAAACTCTGGTTCATATCTCAAGATACAATTTTTGAAAGAAAAATTCAAAATTTTATTTAGTTCAAATATTTTTAAATTTTTTTTTCAAAATTACTTTCTCTCTCCTACAAATCAATCAATCACTTTTTCTTTCTCTTCTCTCATTCTCAATCACTTTTTCTCTCTCACACACATCTACTCAACTACAATAAAATATCAAATCATCCCAAACTACCAAACTTCATAACTGTTTTCAAAATATATAACCAAATAAATCAAAAAAATTTCTAACTCTCTCCTTAATTTTTTTTTTTGAAAATTTATCTCTAAAGAAAAATCAAACACACCCTATGCCTCGAGACTAATGAATAAGACTTTTAAGTGACCCGGAGTATATATAAAATATTTTATTTTATTTTTATTTATTTAAATTGTACACGTATTATGTGTGCCAATAGTTAATTTTATATTATAAAAAAATTATTATACTTAGCGTTAGTTAGATGATGTAATAGAGTGTCTCCATTCGAAATATATAATGAAAATGATCACAATCCTACATATTTGTAAATTTTTCCTTATACTTATGGTTTGCAGATGAAGAAGAAAATTTGACTGGCAATTATGGTACCTTAATTTAAGGGTGAGAGGAATGTAATGATTATAGGTTGGATGTGATGTTTTGTTTGTTATGGCTAAAATAGCCTATTTTGTTTTTTGTGGCTAAAATAGCCAAAAAAGCCTGAAAACCATCTTGCCAAACAGAGCTGTAATAGAGTGTCTCCATTCGAAATATATAATGAAAATGATCACAATCCCACAGATTTGTAAATTTTTCCTTATACTTATGGTTTGCAGATGAAGAAGAAAATTTGACTGGCAATTATGGTACCTTAATTTAAGGGTGAGAGGAGAGATTTGTACCGGTTAGTACGGCCGAGCTACGGTAACACGGGTCGTGGCAAACCGCACGGCGCCAAGCTATTTTCTCTCATGACGCGGCCCTTCGGCCTGTTTTGCACGACCGAAGAGGTTGGCCGACCAGGCACGATCTAAGGTCTGACCGAGCTGTGACCAAACGTTTGGCAGGGCACACGGTCACGTGTGTCAACCGATCTAAGAGTAGCCCAGGCTAGACTGATTACGGGGCGAGGACCGGCATGCCTCTAGCCGGTTGGCCGAGGTGGACGGACTTCGTATAACCGATAATGAAGGTAGGACGGGGGGAGGTCGGTACGTCTCACGGCCGATCAACTAGGATGGACCGACCAAGAGTAGCTCAGCCATGAGAATCAGACTTTCGCTTCTTCCCCGAGGGATAGGTCTGCGAGATACAGCTCGGTTGTGCTGCTTGTGGTGGCAACTCTCCACAAGGGCTAGGCCGGTCGTGGTACTCCGTTTAAGTGAGCCGCCTGGGCCAATAGCGTGAGGGAAAGGACATCTGCTCTAAGCACGCGTCAATACCGCTGGGCAGTTCTGCGTGTACTGGTT